AATTTTGGCTTTGGTATTGAACCTAAGCAAAATGCACATTTGATAGGTGCTCACTGTCAGTATCTTGTGCTCCTCTTTAACACGAGGAACCATCGATGGTCCAGCAAGATCAGATTCCTGAAAAAAAAAGAAATTTTTTTTGTTTTTCCACTCGTATGTCGACAGATCTGATGCGATAACTTGCCGAATTACACAGTGACCAAGTTCACAGCAAAGCCGATGGTTTGAACCTCCACCACCCACTGCTTTTACAATTTTACCATTGATAACTTCTGAGGCAGTTTAGGCTTAAAGTTTAGCTGAAGGTATGCAAGTTCAAGACAGAACAACTTGGCAGTTTAGGCTTAAAGTTTAGGTATATTTTAAGTTTAACATTACGGTATTGTCCCCTGCTCGAAGAAGGTGCAGAAGCTCAAATAAATAGTGATGGATACCTGTTGGCTCAATTCTTCGGGATTTACACACGTATTGTAAAAAACAGCCTTCACATCAGCATGACCAAGCATTGGATTCAATGAGATTTTACGGCCATTATGTTTGCTTAGGTAGAACGCTCTGAAACTCTCGAATGCCTGAGCGGCAGCTGCTGGAAGGACACAGTCCGGAGCGGATTGTGTTGGCCAATAACCGCTTGTCAGTACACGCACATTAATTTCCACTGGTTCATGAACCTGAAACAGAAAATATTTAGCTTTTCCGAATGGCTTTTTACAGTAGTATATCCGGAAAACCAAAAAAAAAGGCTAAAAATCCACTTTTCCGATCTTAATAATGAAGCCAAAACGGCGTGTTTTCGAATAAGTACAAAATCTGATCTTATTCGCCCCGACTATTTAAAATTATTTAAAGAAAAGTTGGTCAAAACTACCAAAAAAAATCCACCAAACACCGCAAAATTGAGCATAAAAGTAAAATAACTGGCCCATGCACTGGCTTCCGGTGCGAAGATGCGTTTTTTGCATAGCTCCCCGTAGTTTTTGTCGCTACCGGCACCAATTTTCCAGCAAATGCTTCTAGCTAAACAAATTAAGACTAGTCGTCAGAAATGTCAAAAAACACCCCCTTAAAATTTCAGCTTTCTATGCTTTCCTGGCTCCCGAGTTAGCAACTAACTCGAAAAAAATTTTTACAGGCCCGTACGTGGGCAACCCGCATACCCGGTGTCTAGATTTGAGCTCATTAATACCCACTTGGATGAGGAATATCCCCTTAAATTCCAATCCTCTAGTTTCTCAGGTTCCCGAGTTACCGACTTACCCGCAAAAAACTTCCACGGGCCCGTACGTAGGTACCACGCGAGTAAGAGCACTCATTTTGGGGGTTGAGGCCCGCACGTGTATGTAGATTAAGTTCCCAAAGTTTCAGCCCCATAGCTTTTGTAGGTCTTGAGTTGAAAAACCGTGACAGGCGCATACACAGACATACACAGACAACTCCTCGTCAATACCCGTTTTCTGCATTGCATAGATGTAAAAAACGCGTAAAACAGTCCTATTTTAAGGAAGGATGTCAAAAATTGACTGTATTTTCTTTTCTCCCAGAATTTGGGAAAGCCACTACTACATTCATTCAAAATTCATAACTAATTCTGTTTACTCTTTATCACCCAAGATTACTTACATTTTCCATTCTCTCTTTGTAATCCCGGTAATCCGCCATCAACGTGTTCGATAGTTCCATATCTTTGAACATTCCTTCCAATTTTGACGTGAACTGACAACCACATTCCGTCTGAAAGAGACACTGATTTTTATCCGGGGCTTCACAAAGATAATCCAGGGGGTTTCTAATGGTATGGCTACCTCACTGTTAATTAATCCTCCTCCTCCCCTTCCCTTTCCCCCTGTGTAAATCACTTTCTGCAAGAAATATAAGCATCCACAAGCAGTCCGAGGGTAGCACATGCCAAAACAACCACTCTCTGGCAAGGTCGTCGA